TGCAATATGGTATACAATATTTATTTCTACACAACTGACATCAGAATAGACGCCTCTACTTTTACCTATTATATTCTGAACAGTTCATTATATCAGAATATAAATGTACAATCTTTCTTATTCACCAGCTCACATCACAATACATGCCTCTGGTGTTTTGCATATTCTTGGAATCTATTAATTTCGTTGGAATATACATGTACAATATTTATTATACAGCTCATGTTAAAATAGATGTCTCTGGACCTCTATTCTTAACAATTTTGCGTATACGTTTCAATTTTAATTGAGCAGCTATTTTATAGTATCATTAAATCTGCGCAGTAAAACTTACATATACTTACGCAACTATTTCAAGAATAGGGGTCCTGGTTTTACATATTATTCAAAACAATTTAGTTGGAATGTGTGTGTGTGTGTGTGTATGATCTATAATAATTATTTCTAAATAGCTCACATCATAATAGATGCTTCTGGTTTCAGCTATTATTATAAGGAGTTAATTATGTTACAATATACATTTAACAATATTTATGATTCACTATCTCAAATCAGAATACATGCTTGAACGGTTTTATTCTATTGTACATATCCATTAAACATATTAATTACATTGCAATATGGATCTACATTTTTTTTACTGTTACGCAGCTTTCGTCATAATTGACGCCTCTGCTTTTATATATTCCAATTACATTGCAATATTCATGTATAATATTTATTATTGCAGCTCACGTCTGAATTGACGCCTCTGACTTTGTTTTATGGGAAAAAATTACATTACATATAATTCCTCTGCTCCAGACGGTGTGTGTGAATTCTTCATATATCATTTCCTTTGTCCGTAATATATTATTTTCACACGTTCGACTTTTCTGCATACAGTTTGTTGTGGAACTGTCAAAACTGTCAAATATCACACTTCATTATATACACTCATAGTATACACTTGGGTTGCGTTCTCATTTACATTGCGAGTACAGAATACCTATACTCCATGTCGTATATACTCATAGAGCTTATACTAATGGAGTGACAATAGCGCGTGCGAGGAGGATCGACAGAGAAAGATATATGCTCTGTTTCAAGTGTGGCCGCAGGCTCGTAACTATGTGCTCTAGCATTATTGCCTTTCATTTCTTTCTTATAAAACATTTCTTTAAGACATGTACTGAAATTTTTATGTAAAATTTAATAAAAATAAATCTAATAAAATAAATAAAACAGAAATATTTTAAAACAGAAAGTCTAAAATATTTTATATATTATTAATTATGATATAATATA